TGTTTCAGTTTGAGGAGAGAAGATGCCTATGTAGCTGTACAAACAGTTAACTAGACTACAAAGTAGGTCTGTGTGAAGTTCTAGTTCAACCAGGGAATGAGGAAGAAGAGGGTACAGAACCCCAGAGAGTTCAGAAGTAACTTAACGAAAACAGGGTGACTTGAGATACCTGGAGCCACTCACTGAAGCTCAAAGTGCAGGAATGACTCCATTTCAAAGCAGCAGACAATGGTCAGATCAGAATGGGAATAGGCAGGTAAACCAGTTAAAAAAAATGTCAATAGTCTCCTAACAGATTTCTCTACCTTTATCTCTTACCTCACCAACCCTTAATTCAAAGTGCCACTTATCTTTCTAAAACAACTTAACTCATGACATTTCCCTACCTAGGAAAACTCACTGGCTTCCCATGGCTGAGGAAATAATTTATATCCTTTTTACTATTAACCCTATACTGTCAGTATAGAGTGTACCTTCCTGTCTCATCATCTGCATAACTTAGCACATATTATATATGCTTTGGGTCAAAGAAATTCTGGCTTCAAATCCTGCCTCTGCCTCTTACTACCAGTAGGACTGTGAAGAGATTTCTTGATTCCCTTTGAATCTCAGTTTCCAAGTCTGTCAGTTAGGGACAATGATAATTTTGACTTCACGTGGTGGTTGTGACCTTTAAATAAGATAAAGTCCTTAAATATGGGGCCTACAGAAAGCACTCAGTAGCTATTAACTTTCATAAGACCCAAATGCATTTTGGTAAGCACATATGGGAACAAACCTTGTGCAACATAAAAGTTAATATTACCACGGAGCCAGAGAAAGAGACACTCAGTTCCAACTGACTCAGATTAACACTGATGTTGTTTCCCTCGTACAGAAAACAAAAGCTTCCTTTTTCATGCCTCAGTCTAGTCTCCAGCTAATCCTGAAATTGCATGCAACCCAATGTGAATCAAACAAAAAAGGAAAATAGTAATTACACTGAATCAAACATTTTATATTTGTACATTCTAAAAGAGATTGCACTGCATAAGCCAGAACTTTTACCAAGTTCTTTTTTGAGCATGTCCAAGAGACAGTTGCTTTAACACTGAAGTGTTAGGCCCTGTGACTCAAATAAGACCCTTTCAAGTGAAACACAGGGAACCAAACTGATTATTTCAACAGAATAAGAGACCACAGGTTTAATGCAAAATCGAACTCAGCTATAATGCAGGAAGGGAACTATTAAATCTTAGATATTTGCTCTCTTACATATAACAGTCAACCAATATTAGAAAGTATTGCTAATGCCAGCCCACCCCACCCCATAATCCTAACATACTTTATGTAATTCCCAGCATCCTTTGAGGTACAGATATATATTTGTGCATGTGCACATATGGACACATGCTCACAGGTGCTTTACTTATCATAAATGGGAATTGGACAAAGATTCCAAAATCATAACTTCAGCACAAAGCTTCTCTTGGTATTACTCAATGTCCTTCTGAAAGGGACTTTTTTGCCAGTTCAAGACTATTCCTAACCAAATGCCAAATGACACACTCTAAGATTATTTTAGTAAACTAGTAATAAAATACTTATTGCATATCCTAATGAAAATGGTTAGGTTTTTAAATATCATATTTTTTTGAACTAATGAACCATTCATTACCTACTTCTCTAGTTCCAATCTCATCTCTTTAGGGTTTTTTTTGGTCTATTTTTGTGTTGGGGATTGAACCTAGGGCCTTGCACATGCTAAGAACATGCTTTGCCACTGAGATATCCCCAAGCCCACACTTCTCATCTATATCACTCACATGGTACTTATCACACTTGGTAGTGTATTCCAATTATGTGCGCATGGCTTATCTCCCTACCACCAGACAAGGGCCTGGAGGAGGGGCTCTCCTGCCCTTCTTGTTCCCTCTGTGATGCTGAACACAAAATAGTTCACATAGCAGGCACTCCAAAAAGATATGGCCAATGAAAGCTATTACAGTTTTTTATCATGGCATCTGGACTCCCCATTATCTGAAAAGTACAGAAGTCAAGCTGATGGGCAATGCAGGACCTCAGTCACAAACCCTGTCTGCCTGATGCAGTCCCTGCATCCTCACAAATGTATCAGATTATTCCAACTATGATCTATGACTGAGACTCCTTCAGAACATGGTATCTTAATGTTCAAACCCCTAGAAGGCCAACTGCAAGGCCATCAAGAACAAATCATGAGGGAAGGGGGAGCATGGTATAGTTCCGTGGTAACATGCTTGCCTAGCATGTCTAACTTGCCATGAGGCCCTGGGTTCAACCTCCAAATAAAATCAAAACTTAAACTTGAACTACCCTAAGGCTCAATGAGCTAGGCCCCCAGACATTGAGACCCTCTGCCTAGAAAATCATCTCTGTGTGTCTTACATTGAAGAAAGCACATACTCCTCTCCAGGAAACTGTTTGGCAACTAATTTATTCAGACCTAGACTTAACCCAAGTCTGTCTGACTTGGTTATTAACTATCTGACTCCCTACCAAAATGATCTGAGGACAGTCCACAGAAGACGACGATAATGTATGCAATTGGAGAGGCCAGGGCAATGGTAAAGATTACCCCTGTTTCACTAAGAGCCATCTAAAGGTATTTACTTGGGTCTGTGTTGTGACAGTCAGTGTCCTAGACTCAAATGAATGCGTGTAACACTCCACATTTTTGAGCCATTCAGTCATGCATTTTTGTTATTGTTGAAAGTGGTGCGAAATTGCACTGCATGAGCTAAAGTCCTTGGTGGTCTTCCAAGGAGTCCAGCTAAAAAGGCACTTCCTTTGTTCCTCAGGAGAATGCAGTCCAGTAGGTCATTCAAAAGGGGAAATAAAAGCAGCAGCCCTGGGAGGGAGATGAAGGACAAGACAAAAAGAATAAAATGTTTTGGGTGTGAGCACATTAGCTTCCATTTCCTGCTGCTGGTCACTCATAACTTCTCCATCTTTGGGGGAGGGGAGTTGTTCAGATAAGACATTTATGCAAATAAGACCCTCAGGTGTTCTCCAGGAATGACAATCCTAGGGTACACCTAGAACCTAAAGTCCTGGAGCATCTTTTATCTTTCTAGCTGCCTTTTCCCTGAGATGCTGGCAGGGGAAGACACTCTGTCACCTCCAGAGATAAAACACGGCAAAGAAACCAGGGAGGGAAATTTCACAGTCCATTCCCTAGTGTCTCTAGTCCATGTCAAAGGCACATATTGTCTGCTTGAGCAGATGAAAACCTTGTCACTTTCCCATGAAGTGCATAACTGCATGCATCCCCTTCAGAACGTGAGAATGACAAGTGTAACCTTCACACCAATCATCTCTGAAGCACCCAGGCCCAAACTGTGCAGGGCACAAAGACCTCAGGTCTGACCTGTAGAACCCCCCAAGCTTTAGTGACTGCTAGTTTAGTTCACTTTTTCTGGCAGGGTAGGAGGAAGAGGAAAAAGGGGGCTTTTCAGAGCTCTTCAACCAATAAAATCGTTAGACTGGGAGGACATACTTGAGCTCCCAAAAAGAGAATCAGCTGAAGGGCAAACTGCCTTTCATCAGTAGTATGCAAGTTACTTGATAACTGCCAAGGTGCAGGGAACGCCTGGGCTGCTCCAACAATTTCTTGGGTTCTATTTCCAGACAGAGGCCAGTTACACTGAAAGTACCCGGCAACTTCCCTCAATTACCTTTGTAATTTATATGTAATTGATGACTGCACTTAATCTCCACGGTTATTAATAGCCCATCCAAAAAATGACCCCCAACTCTTCCTAAGCCTTTGGAAGAGCCTGGTTAAAATTACAGTATTTCCTTTGCTGGCTGCTGGCCCCTTGCCTGCCCCACCCGGGCAACCGGTACCGCCAGGCAAAGGTGCAGTCGGCACACTTCCATGAAAGGTTCGGGAATGTAGGTTTGGCCTCCGGGGCTCGAATCTCTTACTCCACCGTTAGGTTGAACTGGCCAACAGCCAGCTAGTTTCGTGGCTCTTTCTGAGCCCCTGGGGCAAACAAGCTACCTGCAGTGCCTCGGGCGCCGGTGCGGCCCGTGGGGATGTGCGCAACAGTTGGCGGCTGCGAAAGAGCGAGTGTGACAGGGAAAGAGGACTCGCCAGGGCACCGCCATCGGCCTTGCCACCGGGAGCGAAGGGCGTCCCCTGTGACGCTGCCTCCCCAGTGCTCCACAAGGGCTTTCCCCAATACCCCACGCACCCCCCAGCGCCGAAATCCGGAGAAGTTTTTCAGAGGCAAAGCCGTCTTCATTTGCATAACCATCTCCAAACTGAGATTCAGGTTTCCTGTAATCAGTCCTTTCAAAGGTCTGTAATTGAAAGTGCAATTAACCCTTAAAATGGGGTGAGAAAAAAAAAGAAAAGGGGGGAAATACCCTTCATATCCATCCAACACCTTCCGGAATGCTGAAGATTTCCCCCAAAAGTCAGGATTTGCAGGGGTGGGGAGCAGGGGGAATCGTTTGCTTTTTAAAGAGGACTTCTAAAGCCGTTGGAGCTTCTAAAACTCCTAATCCTTGTCAGCAGTGGGAGAGAGGCGGGGATAGGGGTTTTAAAAGAACATCAATGAACCGCTCATTCAAGCTGCACGTTTTGCGCTCCCCGGAATCTGCAAACTCCAGGAGGTTTCCCGCACCCCACCCTGCCCCCACCAGGTCTCACCGTCACCCACACAACAAAGTGGGGAGCCCAGTAACGAGTTCAACCCGGAAAAGCGAGGGAGCCCATGCCATGCTCTTTGGGGGTCAGAATCCTCAGTGGCTTCCTGAGGCCACTAAGACTGCGAGGTGGAAGGGTCAAGCAGTGCGCGGCAGTAGCACTGGGCAAATCGCAGGCGCCCCTCCGCTGGCGGTGCCAGGGCCGCTTCGCCTGTCGCTGGCTCCCGCCTGCTCGTTTCTCTCTCTCTGGACTACCTGGTTCCGCATGGGAGACGGCCCCTCTCTCCTGGGGTGCCTGTCTCGGGAATGGGGGGGTTCCCACCTACCGTTGATCTCGTGGAGGGGGGCATCGTTCTTGTTGAAGCCTTTGGACACGTAGAGACGTCGCACTTCCGAGCAACTTTTCGACTTGAGCTCGGCAGCCAGCAGCGAGGCGCTGAGCACCGCCAGGGTGCAAAGGAGAGCGAGCAAGCTGAACCGTGCCATGGTGCGGAGCTGGGCGGACGCGCTCCCACCTTCGGGGGACCGAATTAGACGGGATGGGAAGCGGCGCTGAGGAGCGGGCGGGGGGGGGCACGGAGTCGGGGTCTAGCGATTGGAGCGAGAGCAAAGGAGTTGAGTTGGAGGAGGAGGAGGAGGAGGAGGAGGCAGAAAGGGAGGGGGGCGCAG